TGGACGGATACGTTCAAATCAAAGAGCACTTATCATAACGTTAAGGACAATGGTAATCCATGGTTCGGCATTAACAGTAACAAAGCAAGATTAAAGTACAAATTGGCGAAAGGAAACCAGAGAATTTTTGCCCCAAAATACGATTCAATATTATTGTTTATAAGTGATGGATGAAAAAAAACCCCTCGAAATATTTATTATAAAAAAACTGAAAGATTTTCTGGAAATTATTAACCGGCTCACCCCACCCCACCCCCACAAGAACAAAGAAGATAGTTATTAACATCTTCACACTCGTGCATTTTTTTTTATACAAGAAAATAAAATAAAATGACAGTTTGAATTACTCTCGTTTAACCCGATATAACTAGCCGGTAATGACGCCTTTCTAAACGTACCAGTAATTTAGAAAGAACATAAACTGTGCTAAATTTCTTTGAAATTCCTGACTGCAGTCAATGATTCATCTCAACAGAAGAATTACAAATTTAGATCTGCCAGTAGATCTTAAACTAAATATGCTTGATTAAGTAGTTTTATCTAATTTTAAAGTTTTGAGTCTTAAGACTACTGAAGCAAATGGCAATCTACATAATGAATTTCTGAGTAATATCACCGGCCTATGAAAAGGTAATTCGTTGCGCTGAATTAGGTACCCTCCGTTAGCAGATAGCTATTTAAGCCTGAATGATTTGGTTTGGGATTAGTTTAGAAAGATTGGAAGTTATTTAATTTAACTTTTCTCGCAAAGCATCATTGATTATATGTCATGTGGATTATACGAACATTAATGGTAAAATCATGTGCATAATATTTAACAGGAAGTTGTTTAAACGATGTATTATTGGACTATTGGAAAGTCACAGGCCATACAAACGATATTTGTACTATTATGCTATTGGAAATTCACAAGCCAAAAAGGATATTTGTACTATTATGCTATTGGAAATTCACAAGCCAAAAAGGACATTTGTACTATTATGCTATTGGAAATTTACAAGTAATAAAAGCGATGCTAGTGCTATAATACTATTGGAAATTCACAAGCCTTTAAAACGATGCTTGTACTATTATCATGTTGGAAATTCACAAACCAAAACAACGATACTTGTACAATTATAATATTAGAAATTCACAAGTCATAAAAACGATGTTTTGTTTTATATTACTATTAGAGATTCACAAGGTACAAGAAAATCAATTATTATACTACAAAGGTCCAATGCATATTAGAAAGCCACATACGTCAAGTGTCTTCAAACAACAAATTAACAGACTTTCCCAATAATCGATTTAGTTGAAGTTTTATTCTGAATTACCGCGAAAGGATTATTTAGTTTTGTCTAAATTGAGTGTAAATAATTATAAACTATGAAAATCTATGAAAGGAACTTAGAAGGTATGATTATGCTGAAATATACCATCGAATTATGATCTTTTTATTGCACGTATTGCAAATACCACATATGATTTTCTTCCAATCAGCTAACAGATGACCACACATTCACGGGACACTAATTTCACTCTTGCAGTTTGTTTTCATGCTTTACATTCGTATGGAATTCCAAACTGCAGACTGGTATTTCGTTCTACCTACTACAAAACACAAACTCTCTCTCTCTCTCTCTCTCTCTCTCTCTCTCTCTCTCTCTCTCTCTCTCTCTCTCTCTCTCTCTCTCTCTCTCTCTCTCTCTCTCTCTCTGGATGAATAGATCCTAAAATGTGTCAAGACTGTTGACATCTAGTATCCATTATTTCATCAATGAGAAGGCTCCGTCAAGAATGCATAAAAAATAAACCTCCACGAGAATCATACTTCAGACATTTTTTTTGTAATATTTTTCACGTACAAATTGTCAGTGGCTGAATATACTTTACCTGCTGTTTTTCGACATTCCATCACCCTTACCATATTGTATATATGTTACCCTCAACGATGGACTGTGTTAAGAAATAAAAGCCCTTGATTACATATAGTAATAAATCTATGTTGTGACTTTACTGCATCACAGTCATAAGTGTATATAAAAAATCAGCCCATTGATTAGTGAAATATGCTGTAAGCTTGCCAACACACAAAATGTACTCTTGAGCACAGAAATAAACAATAACTTCAACAAAAATCCTCACAAGTAGACTCGCAATCATTAAAATCTGCTGTTTAACTCTTTATTGCATATTGAAGCCATCTGACAATAACCCATTTGCTGCATAATGACGCCTTTTGACAGCAACCATTTTACTTCATAATGATACCTTTTGACAGCAACCACTATACTGCATATAGACGCCTTTTGACACCAAACATTTTACTGCATAATGACGCCTTTTGACAGCAACCACTATACTGCATAATGACGCCTTTTGACATCAACCATTTTACTTCATAATGATACCTTTTGACAGCAACCACTATACTGCATATAGACGCCTTTTGACACCAAACATTTTACTGCATAATGACTCCTTTTGACAGCAACCACTATACTGCATAATGACGCCTTTTGACATCAACCATTTTACTGCATAATGATACCTTTTGACAGCAACCACTATACAGCATAATGACGCCTTTTGACAGCAACCACTATACAGCATAATGACGCCTTTTGACAGCAACCACTATACAGCATAATGACACCTTTTGACAGCAACCACTATACAGCATAATGACGCCTTTTGACAGCAACCACTATACAGCATAATGACGCCTTTTGACATCAACCCCTATACTGCATAATGACGCCTTTTGACACCAACCGTTTTACTGCGAAATGACACCTTTCATGACAAATCCGATCAAGATACCCAGTACAACCAAACTTAAGTATTTGTTCGCATAACTATCACTTTAATGCTTGACAGAATAAACCTAGAAAATAAGCAAATCATTAGTTATTCACTTTAATCTGCTTTCATCCATTTTATGTACCAGTGCATCCGCCATTTGTAAACACGTGCTTGGCATTTAACGGTTGCGAAGTGGAGTCATTTAAATATTGAATGGTACAGTTGAAAGATTTTTGATAATATACACAAAAATATGATATTATTTGAATTAGTCCAGTTTACTGTTATAAATGTTTCATATAAAAAAATAGAGCAAATTTTAAACATCGGAACTATGCTATACACTAAAAACGGGTTACAGCTCTTTTGTGTTCACTTAAGATTCAGCAAAATTATATAACCAAAAGACATAAATTCCTCATAAATATGGACTTTCAATATTTAAAGAACATTTACTCGCTGATAGTGATAAATATCATCACGAAAAAAAAATGCAAATAATGTCTTTGAATATTAAGCCTATTTTTAGAAAAAAGGGAAAAACCATTTGTTACATGGCGAGAAAAATCTAGCCACCTACACTAATCAATAGTAGATGTTTACTGATATTGACAAATATGTAATTTTGTCATGTATTTTACACATTCTTGGCTGGATTTGGTTGCTATGGCAACCAACCATTTCATCCCCTGCATGCTGAAATATAGCGTAACCAATATTGATCCATTGTCCACAAAACAAATTCCAGCTATAAGAACATTATTATTGTAAGAGAAGTAAACTCAAAAGGGATGCCAAATTATTCATTTACTGGATAACCCTATGCAAATCAGACAGTTTGACCTCCAGACTGATGCCAAGTAAGCGGTTAATGATGTCACGCTTGAACTCTTTTTAAGCGTCCGGTCACACTACTTACTACAGGATTCCCAACCCATTCCTGTTCACTGCGTCAATTGGCGCAAGGAATGTGCTAACGAAAATAAAAATCGCAATTTCGTATGAAAATATTCATTAACTTGACAAAATACAATGTGAAAAATCTAAATTTGTCAAAAGTCTGTCCTAAAATTATTGTAAATTTTCAGAACTTCTTGGTATCGACGTGGGTGTTTGTGTGTGTGATTTGGATTTTAAATGTTGGGGCGTCATGCCGCAGACATGTATGTAGCACGATATCCCGTGTACCGCTCCAGTGGCCAAGTGGTTAAAGCGTCCGCCTCGGATGCGGTAGGTAGTGGGTTGGATCCCCGGTCGAGTCATATCAAAAATATACAAAAATGGTATTACAGCTGCCTCGCTTGACGCTCAGCATTAAGAGATAAGTACTATGACTGGTCGGCCTGGAGTCATGGTGGGACATAATGCTATATGTCTGCAGCATGATGCCCCAGTGCTTAACATCACTATAAACTGCCACACTGCAGACATCGTAGCGAAATTGTTAAAGCTACGTTAAAAATAATAATCACTTCACATCTGTCCCACTGAGTGATATTATTCTGACACCAGGCCGACCAGTCCTAACACTAGGCAGATGTTAGTACCATTTCTATAAGTCTTTGGTATGACTCGGCCGGGGTCTGAACTTGCGACTTCCCTCATCCGAGGCGGACGCTCTAAACACCAGGCCACCGGATCAGTATAACGATGTAGTAATGCAGCTATCAATTGAACAGAATGGATAAATGAATTCATGAACAAATATGGAAAGTAGATCAACGTGTTTTAGTAGATAGATTAAAATATTTCGCTCCTGAAGTGGAAATATTTTGCAACGTTATTCTTAAATTCGCCACTTTTGATAAACTAAAGTTTCCACTTCACTCGTCAGGACATAAACCGTTCTCAGCATTTTTTTCTTCACCTGCACATTATAACAGTGGGATTACCACTTAAGTAAACACAACCGGCACTAACGCAAAGTGTCTTTTAAAGATATTCTGACGGAGTGAATTGGAAATGCAATTTTAAAGAAATAATGATCTGTTTTATATTACACCAAACGGTTAACAAAATACAAGCAGGTAACATTATATCTCAGGATTCCGGAGCTAAAATCCTATATACAATAAGTGTTGCTTGTCCCGGGTCGGTCGTCCGAGGCATAGGCCTATATATGTGTGTGGAATGCAGTGGATCGACAACCCTCGGTTAGCGAACATTATTTTTAGCATGAATGCCTACAAGTTTTATTTTATACACCTATACACTCCGGTGGTCTAGCGGTTAGAGCGTCCGCCTCGGATGCGGGAGGTCGTGGGTTCAATCCAAGGTCGAGTCATACCAAGGACTTACACAAATGGTACTAACAGCTGCCTCGCTGGACACTGAGCATTAAGAGGTTGGTGTTAGGACTGGTCGGCCTGGTGTCAGGATAATGTGACTGGGTGGGACATCATGCTACATGTCTGCGGCATGATGCCTCAGTGCTTGACATCACTATAAACTGCCACACTGCAGACATCGTAGCGATATGACTGAACAATTGTTAAAGTTACGTTAAATCTCTCTCTCTCTCTCTCTCTCTCTCTCTCTCTCTCTCTCTCTCTCTCTCTCTCTCTCTCTCTCCCAATCTCTCTCTGATATGTTTATTATCAGCGTCGATACATTCAAACACTTGTTTGAATAGTTTTCAGATAAAAGCAGTAGTTAAAATACATATAAAATGGAAATAAATAATTTTTGTTAAGTAATTAACAAATCACGGGTCATTATTCCCGTGACAGTATTCACAAAATCAAAATACTGGAGATTAGATCTAAGTGCACGCTAAGCATACACTCCAAATGTGCAAATAATATGACATAAAACATAGGATGATCTTGTGTAAGAAAGCTACCATTTAGTGTAAATTTGTACGATATTCTTTCAGCTATGTTCCTTTTACGAAATCGTGTATTATTTGGCTACAGTTTGTACACTACTCTTTCGGCGTTATTGTTGTTGTTGTTGTAGGGTTTAACGCCATTTTTCAGCACAAGATAGGCTATACATGTAGGACAGTATAACTGGTGGAGGAAGAACCCTGGAAAACCCCGGAAAGAACCACCGACCCACATGAAGCTATTGGCAAGCTTTCTACCATACCCACGTCAGCAGAGTCCGAGATTCGATGCCACACAGGCAGATGTGAGAAGTATTTGTACACTACTGTTACAACAATGTCCCTTATACGGAATCATGTATGCTATTCAGTGTCGATTTTTATACAATACTTTTTTAGCTATGTTATTTATACGAAGTCATGTATTACTATTTAGTGTCAATGTGTTCAATACTCTTACGGCTATGTTCCTTACACGAAATAATGTACACTATTCAGTGTAGTCCGAGTTTCCTCTGAACCTTGACACCCCATTTTTGATATTTGGTTTTTATGTTGGGGTGTACACCCCAACATAAAAAAACAGATATCAAAAATGGGGTGTCAAGGGTCAGAGGAAACGCGGACTATATTTAGTGTAAATTTGTACAATAATGTTTCAGAGAATCACGTCAGATCACATTCAACCGATCCCTGCTCCAACACTTTAATACTTTCAACAACTGTTGGCATGATTATACAAAAAAGTTACACATGGAGAACTGAGGAATAATTGCAGCTCCCAGAGGAACATCTCTGCAATTTACGTCTAAGTGACGCTCCTATCTGTGATCGAAAAATTCAATTTGTTTTTCATGTTGTAGGTATGCAAATCAAAGACGAATATTAAGTACACAAACTGAATTTAAATTAGATTTGCTCTTTAAAGAGAAATTCCAAACTAGCAAAAGATAAGCAATGAAATTATACTGTTGGTTGTATTAAAATATTTTAAAACTACACAGCGTAACAGTTGTATCCCAACAATGCTTTGATTTTTTTTCTTCTGATAAATAGGATAAATGATTTATATCTCTCTTCTACCTTCTTTCATTCTTTTCTCTCATTATATCCTTTTAATATCGCTATTCTAATACGTATTTATGGTATTAATTTTGTACATAGGTCAGCCATCGTAAATATTTTGTATTAGAAAGTACTCTTTGCCTGGGAAATAATTCTGTATAAACAAATCTTCGTTTTCCAATTACGGTCGGCCGGGATGACGTAACATCACTATCAATAGGCTGCAAAAATGTACGATAGCTGTGAGGGGCCGTGAGGAATAAATCAAAATTATTCATAAACTAATTAATTTTAGCACGTATATCATCATTTTTGTCAAATCAGAAACTTTAAAAAAGGTGTTCGTCCATTAGACAAATGACTATCCAAATTGATTTGATAATTGTTTCGATGAGCAAATATTTTTTTTCTTTTGTTCAACACTAAGTATATGATTGGTAAAGATCCAATTTACCCATATTTGGATTTTTTTAATGGCCTCAACTTAACTAATAGTTTGCTTCAGATTTAGATATCTTAATCCGGTGTAACGTTTATGCCAGAGTTATCGCTGTTTTTTTTTTTTTTAACTGAAGAAAAAAAAAGAGATGAAAGAATAAATCGAACAGTGAACATATTATTTTTTAAATTTAAACAGCTTAGGAATAAACAATCGTGTGGGTGACACAATCTTTTCAGTTTTTAAGTCATCAAATTAGTATAATCTAACAATTCGATTGCATTTCAAAGTCGCATATTTTGACCCCAATGGCCTTATATAATTATGACTCCACACAAAATTTAGATACCATTGTTTTTTTTTCCGCTGGAAAAGATTTAATTTACGATATCAGTATCCGTACCTTACGTATTCTTTCATTTTGAGTTTAGCCCACGCCAGGCATATTGAACCAGACTTGACCCGCAATGAAAAGTCAATATCTAAACAGTGTTTAGTAGTTTCCCATCAGTGGGCTCTTACAAACCAGCGCGTACTTAAACAACGTAATAGTAACGCATTCATTGTTGTAAAGGAAAAAGCAAGAAGTGGTTTCACTACACATATCATGTCGGAAGGAAAGAGAGTAGTAGCTATTGCTATTGATGAGAGCGAATACGCCGAATACGCCCTACAATGTAAGTATACATGTTATATATTTACTGACATGTAGATTTTATTCACGTGCGGTGTGTATCTATAATCCTGGCCCATGACTCGTGATAGGCGTCTCGACTCAAAGTTGTTAAGAGCATGCGATTTAGTCCGATGAGTCAGGCCCCTAACATGTAGTACAGATTTGGGGGCTGATTTATCGGAACATATTTAGCACAGATCTTTATCGAAAACAATATCTGGAAGAACCTATACGAAAAGATAATGAAAATTTGCAACGGGCTTCACGGTGTAAAATTCCAAAGGTCGGGACGAAACGTAAACTTAAAAAGTGCCTCAGGCGCTCGAAGATAAGCAAGGGGTTTATCTAAAATTGGTGGGCTTGGATGGGGGATCTGTAAGGGGCTGTGGTCTATAGTCTAAAGGTTTTTGTGACTGGGTGTGGTGGGATCAAATCAACCAAGAGGTAATGGGTACAGGGAATCCCTCGTAGTTTCTCCTGTTTGGATTGCAGCAAAATACCCCCTCACGGTACCCAATGTTTTTTTTGTTGTTTTTTTTTTTTTCTGAACGATACGATCTTTGATCAATACGTATTGTTATAGCTGAATTTGTCTAATGCATTAATGGGATTTTAGAGCACCCTCAACAAACTGGTATACACCTGGCATGTATTCATTGTACTGTTTACAGGATAAGGAGTATACGCATTAAAACGTTATCACTGAGTATGCCTATGTGTGTTGATGTTGCATTTACAACACTTACATTCAAAGTTATTGACTAAAATAAAAATATTATCTTGTGATGATACATGGAATGTCACCCGGAATTATTATTCCTCCCGAAATTATTATTATTATTATTATTATTATTATTATTATTATTATTATTATTATTATTATTATTATTATTATTATTTCTCCAGGAATTATTATTATTATTATTATTATTATTATTATTATTATTATTATTATTATTATTATTATTATTATTATTATTATTATTATGTCTCCCGGAATTATTAATATTATCGTTCATATTTAATTAGACTAACCTGGTTATAGTGCAAGTGACCATCCATAAATTCACGCGATTTTGGTCAATTTTTTACCCCCACCCACAGTCATCACACTTCGTCACAAAAAGTCAGACCCCCTCAAATATAACGTCACAAAATTCTGCCCCCCCTCCGAAAAAGCCGTAATTTTTATTTGAAAATTAACATGTTTCAAATTACTTTATTGTCATTGTAATATGTATTTAGCACAGAAGTCTGCAGTAAAGCATGACGAAATTTCTGACATGAAATCACCTTAACGGTAAAATAAATCAACAGCATATATATTTTTTAACACCATATATTATTAGTTAATTTATAATACCGCTAAGGTGATTTCATGTCAGAAATTTCGTTGTGCTTTTTTGATAAAACTGCAGACTCCTGCGGTATTTGGTGTGGCGCTGCACTGATATTTTTGTAGGAGAAAACGTGTTAAAATGGAGGCACTAGAAAAACTGAAATTAGCATAAAATTCTTGTGAAAATATTTGTTGTCTTGGTAAAATTGCAGAATTAAGTTTGGCGAGAACAAGATTATTTCAACCTCGCTTTATTGACACCAGAGGACCGGAAACGGAAGAATGCTATTTGGAATAAGCCATTTCTGGGGCTAGATGGGGTGATGTTAGTTCGAAGACGAGTTCATTTTAATTTGAGCTCGTGCACGACAAGCGTGAAGCTACGTAAAACATCATTAAATAAATTGTAAGCATTAAAAAAAATAAAGAATGTAAATTAAGTGGAACTTTTATTTACAGTTGCGCATTTTGATGTGACGTCACATTTCTTAAACACTATCACACAAACCTCGTCACACATCGTCACGAATGTGTGACCCCATACCCCCAGATGCGTGACGTCATTTATGAACGGCCCCCCAATCAACTGACTACTGATGGCTATGTAGGGCCCAATGATAAGCTGTCCTGACTTTGCATGCCACTTCAAATCTCCTCTCCCGTTTTGCCCATAATTTCCTTACGGTTTGCACATTTAATGGATTGTATATACGAGTCTCGGGTTGGGCTAATGTGGGTATGTGAGAAAGTTTGCTACTAGCTTCCTCTGGGTCTGTGGTTCTTACCAGGGGTTTCCTGTTCTCTTTCTCCATCATTTATACTGTCCGCCATGCATAGCATATAGCGTGTTATAGTGGTTATAGTGTGTTGGGTAAAAATGGCAATAAACCAAGAACACACACACACAGAAGTACTATTATTATAAACATTATTATTAT